CACTTGATGCTACATGATGAAGGCTGTGAAGTGTTTACTTTGTTTAGCTTGCTACAGGATTTTTTAAAGAGCAACTTGGTGTCATAGTTGTTTCTGATCAAGATGTGCCTCTTAATGTTTGTACTTTTACAATCTGTCAGTCAGTAAAAGTGGATGTAAGCTGTAAAATTGCAGAACTATTTTTACAATAATATATGAAGTCATAAACATGTACTTCTGCATACTTCAGTATCCTTAAAACTACACATTAGGACTGTCACAAATAAATATAAATCTCAACATAACGTAGTAAAAACATCACATAAGTGGGGGGTTTTTTTTGGTTTTTTTTTTTTTTTTGTATGATATCCATTTCAAATTACAAGACAGTCTGTGGTGCAGAAACATCAGTCTTTACCTTCCCATAGTTTATACACCAATGTGGGATTAATCCTCAAATATTCCATAAATGTCATTCTTCTAAAATGTAGGTGCGCTCTAATGAGTCCATTCAGAGCGATGATTTGCAGAGCACGCTTGGCTTTCTGGCCAACCCGAAACGCTTCAATGTGGCCATCACTCGTCCCAAAGCTCTGCTCCTAATTGTTGGAAACCCCCACATTCTCATTAGGGTGAGTGACGAAACACACTGTTTTAATCCTAGGTTGTGTAAGATATGTGTTTTCGATCATGCTAGTGTGTAATGCCATAAATCCGACCTATTAATGAGTGTTAATGTTTGCAGGATCCATGCTTCAGGGCTCTACTGCAATACTGTTTCATCAATGGGGCGTATCTGGGCTGCGACCCACCTTCTTCCTTAAGAGACTCACAGATGTACGTAAACTGATCAGCCCTTATAGACTTTATTCACAATGGGTGTTCATGATTGCCATTACAGAGTGTTAAAGATAAAATCCTTCTATGGTAAAGCATGCTTCAGAACTGCTTATTGTATCGATAAATTAAACAGATACGATGACAAATACCAGCTTTAAATGTGTTTTTGTCATAGTAAAATGAAATCCACATGGTTTAGGTTGTTGTGTGCTAAAAATAACCACCAAGAGCACAAACAGCTTCTATTTTGATCTAAGTTTTGACGAAAAGTAAACCTGTCTTCTTTTCTATACTTCCACAGAGTTGCAGAGGAGCAAAGGAGTGCATAAGAGGAAGATGTTATCATAGATGATGTACTTCAGCTTAGTCAACCTGACAGTCATATCATGTTTATGTTCATTTTTCCCCCCCTTTTCCATTTCTTTAGCTTGTCTCTGTGTTGGCTGTTCTCAAAGGGAGCTGTAGCTCTTGAGTGAATTGCTTTAAAAAGAGAAATATCTTATTTCTGTAAGAGCCACATGCAATTCCACTGGGGGTAGAAATAAAGATGGCACTCATGTGCACTGCACAGTGTTTCCTGCGTCCTGTCATTGTTAAGTTGATGTGCTTGACTGTGCATAAGATTCTTTACTGATTATGGGTAGATTACTAGGAATTGGTCATTGCAGACCCACTGTGTTCTTCTACCAAGGCTGCACAATTATGCTACTAAACCTATTTCAATGGCACTGACCTGGTTTTTACAGCAGAAATATCCCAGTGCCTCAGTGTCAGCTCTTTGTTGTGAAAGAGAAATCCAATACTAGAAAACATTTAAACTTTTTGCATTACCTTCCACGCATGTCTGCAGAAGTTGTCTGCACACCTCGGCGTGGCAGCGTCTGCCCATAAGGCTCGGAGACTGGATGTGACAATTGAGTGCTATTGACAGTCTGCACAGGGACTGTCAGTCCTACTGGAGCCCAGCAGGATGGAGGGAAGGTGGTGGTAGGGGGGGAAGAGAAAAGAGGCAAATGGGGGGGCTTCAATCTCTTAAGTTAATGAGTCTCTTATGTGCAGGGAGGAGACAGCTTTTATCTGAGGTTGTTGTGCTGTGAGGGAGCCCCACTCAGACACCCAGTCCCCCTCCTTTTCTTCCCAAACACGCCTTTGTCTTTGATGTACTGTATGTCTCAGGTGTTTGCTCTACTGTCCCACTCTGCCAGTCAAAACTGTTCTATAGAGAGAACAATACCACAAACACCATTTATATTGTGCTTTTCAAATGATGGTGGGAAAAAACCTAAGCATCTACAAACAGACGTCTACTCTACCTGGATGTTGAGGCATTAAGACTTGAGTTGATAAGGTTATGATATATTGTGTTGATTGCTGCACATGTAGTCTTGCTTTTCTGCTGTTTGGTTTGGAACAGACTTTCAACTTCCGAATAAACTCTACAGTATTATAGAAATACTATGTATTGTCTTCACTTCAACTTACTATTCATCAGAAATAGATTTAAACAATACTTTTACTAAATTGCCAGCAAAATCTCGCACAGTGCTACAGCTGAAACTGAACATGGAAAGAAACCTGCAGGAGCTGTGACGGAGACGTTAGCATGTACAAGGATGGCAGTGCCAAAACATAACCCGTAGAAGCTAGAAGCTGAGTCCTCATTAGCAGATTTCTGAAGTTGTACTGGTGGCTTGCAAGATCATGGTAGTCTTATTTTTATATTTCATCCTGAGATTGATCACGTTGCGGGGTGATCTTTGTGTTGCAACTTTAAGCTATAGTGTCTGTTCTGCCGTTTATCCAGGTTCTTTGTGGTGTTTGCATTGTTACCATGACAGACCTGTGGCTGTGGATCGTATTTGGAGATTTCTTACTTAAAAGACCATGAGGCATTTTTTCTAAATCATTTGTTTGTTTCATGTGGCTTATTAAAATCAAACACTGCCTTGTCCAGATTGTATTTGACAGACAGGTGTCCAACCAGTAAAAGCTCATACTCAGTAGCTTAAGAGAAGACTTACTCTAATTCACAAATGAAAACAAACATGATATATGTTAGACATGACATAAACTATATTTTAGTAGGGATTTCTCTCGAAGCACAGATCTTGGTGAAACATTTGGCAATGATATATCAGAAGAACTGAACTGTAAAGTCCAACAACCATGAAGAGTAGTGTGTTGTTGAGGTGGTCCACAAACACAGTGACAGTGTAGAGATGTTAGATACCCTGCATTTTACAAAAATGTGAGTTGATAGTGTGTACTTTTCCTAAATTTCCTAAATCCTGTGAATATGTTGCCTTTGAGCATCTCCACTGAATATATTTAAATCCCAGGTATAATAAGGTAGTTGTTGGTGTTGGAGGAGAATCGTCTAGGCTACATTGCCTACTGGTCTTTTTGAGAGACAGGTGCCCAACCATTTAGCTCACCACACTATCACCTTCTCATTAACTGTGGTAGGGCCAGGCAACACATTACCAAGACAGACACAGTGTCTACAGAGCAGCCATTAGGCCCAACAACAGACCCCTGCTGGGCTCCTGGCAGGGGGAGCTTGTTAAATGTGTGGACCTATTGTTCTCCCAAATTGGCCTGTGACTGTAATTGCCCAGTTAGTCCCCTCTTAGGGGCTACGCTCGTCTACCCGAACTGGAACCAGCCTCCGCTCATCAGATCAGGCTGTAAAAGTTGGCTGTGCTGGGGCCAGTGGAGGGCTCTGCCTTGTTGCTTGTGCATTGTCCTGGTCTGGTATACTGCTACAGAAAGGAGAGTATGGCCGAATCAGACTGGACTTTACTTTGGCATCTCTTGAGCCACAATGACCCTAAAAGGCTCGAGGGAATAGAAACCTCTGATTCATGAGGGAAAGTCTTAAAAAGGCCCAAAGGCATCCCTCTCAGATAATCATCTAAATGTGGAGGCAGACGACGTCCAAACAAATACGCTTTAATGTGGCTCCTAAATACATGAGACTGAAAGAACGAGACAAATGAGTGTCTGTACCTCTGATCTGCATCTGAGAACAAGATGTCTTATCTGTTGAATGGGATGTTAGCATGTTATTTCTGCATGGCAGCAGCAGATGTTGCTCTGTTATTTATATGTAAACAGAACACAGAAACACCTTAGTTTAATATCTTTTGTCAAAGTATTGTTTTTCAGTTCAGATTTTGTCTAAAGAAACTGCATGGTTATATTCTTTTTAAAAAAAAGAACATCTAAAGCTTCATACTGAAATTGCATCAACTCATTCTAGCCATATCACAGATCTTGTGCCATCGTGTGAGCACCGTGTACAGTAACTAGTGAGGCAGAAAGGTCCTTGCTGGTGTTGCATTTTACAGACAAACAAAAGAGGTAGACTAATAGTATTTTGCATGTGGATTTGAGTTTGTGTTATTGGCACATCAAAGCCAGGTATGCCACAAGAGACGCTGCTTTGCTAATGAGAAGTGGAGGCTGCGACGATGAAGCCCTCCAATTAGGAAGCAGGGACACATGAAAGAGGCTCGCAGTATGAAGGAGACTGTCTGTCTACAAAAACCTCAGGAGGAACTTTCAGAGATGCAGAGCCTCTTTGGGGGATTTTTGCTTTGCATATCAGCCGATGCAAATAATAAAAAAGAAATTGTTAGATCATTGTGTTATTTTTTTTTTTTACGTCTTTTGCTCAAAGCTGATATAATGTTGAGCTGGACATAATAATAAACAAACTCAGCATTTTTGTTGTAGTTTGTGAACACAGTGATGATTGCATAGTTCGCCGCATATACTTCAGAGTTTAGTTCTTTGCCATGAAGTGTTGACATTTTTTTTTTTTTTACCTCCTGGACCTATGAGAGCAAATGAAGGAGCTTGTATGGAGGGTCGTTCCTCAGTGAAAGCTGCCCATCGTCCCCCCTCCCTCCCCCCTAGCTCACACACCCTCCATCTGCCCCCCCTCTGTCTGCAGTCATCACAAAACAAGACGATGTCTCCAAACGCATTGTCTCTGCGTCTTTGATAGGTAGTTGATAACAGACTTCCAGGCTGATGGGGCTGGCTGATGCAGCTGTATATAAAGGAAGCCACATCAGTTGGAAAAAGCCATTCAAGACAGCAGAGACTGACGACAAGCAGCCTCAGAAGTTTTTCCATTTACCTTGCGGACTCTGAATTTTCCCCAACTTTTCACTATGGCTGTGTTCTTCGCTGTGACTTTCCTGGCTTTGGCATGTCCTTTACTGGCATTTGACATGGGCCAGTCCACACGTTGCGTCACCATCCCCAACCAGATGAAGGTCTGCAAAGACATTGGATACTCAGAGATGCGGCTTCCCAACTTTTTGGGCCACAGTAACCTGGAAGGGGAAGTGGTGCCACGTTCAGAGGACTGGAGGCCCCTGTTGCAGACCGGCTGCCACCCTCAAGCCCAGGCCTTCCTCTGCTCCCTCATTGCTCCTGTCTGTCTTGATACGTAAGTAGGCTTTTTTGTTGTTTTTTCTTTCTGAAATTGTTACCTTTGTAAAACAACTGACTATATTTTTATTTTGATTGCAGTTATTGTTAGCCATCATCTAACGTTTTCTCTTCCTTTCCATCAGTTTTATCCAGCCCTGCCGGAGTCTGTGTCTGACAGTGAGGCAAAGTTGTGCCCCAGTGCTTGCCTGCCAGGGACACCCATGGCCTGAGGCTCTTGACTGTGACCGCTTCCCTGCTGAGGAAGACATGTGTCTCTCTCCCCATGCAAAATTCAGCCACTTTGCTAAAGGTAAAGGCAAATTATTAAGATGTTATTTTACTTCACTGTCATCCAATTGGAAACATTGACTACCATGTGCTTCAGTTGCATTAAACGATGCTTAATCTTATTCACAGGCTTACCTAAACCTGCCTGCCAACACTGTCCTTCTGTGGAGGAGGCTCCTGCAATGAAAACAGTCCTGGATGCTTTTTGTCACCACCACTTTGGTATGTATTAAAATTATTTCACAAAGCTAATCTGCAATGTATTTTCCTTTTTAGCATCACAAATGTCAATTTTTCTCATGCTAATTATTTTTTTCCCTCTTCTCCACAGCCGTGACAGCCAAACTTCATCGCCTTCGCATCTCCACAGGAGAGCCAGAATTCGTGATCGAGGGCCGCGTTGAGTTCATCCGTCAGGGACCTTTGTTGCCTTACGACACCCGGCATCTTCTCCAGCAGTGGCTCCTCATCAACCGTGCATGTGCTAGTGGTCTTGTGCGTCCTGGGCGGTCGCAGCTTTACGTGCTGACCGGTTCCGTGCAGCCTGACGGCAAGCTTGCTCTAACTCGTGTCTTCCCTTGGCACAGAAAGGACACAAACATTGCACTGGCCACTCGCAAGTGGAAGCACCACAGATGTTGAATGGACATGAAAAAAACTGGAGCTCTGAATCTGTGTTTGGTAGTGTAAAATCACATAAGGGTATAATTCCTCACTTAAAAAGCACATAATTTAGGATGAAATCAAGGGGGAATATTGAGAAAAAGAGCAAATTTTAAGGGGCTTTTTGTAGAGAAAGATAAATAAGAACAGATGAATTTATAACACTCTTTGTTCCCTTTAGCAGCTCATTATCTCATGTCTGCTGTCTTAGCACACAGTAATAGGATGCACTCAAACCTGTACATAGTATATAATAAATGTAAATTGATGGTAGATTCTATTTTCTATAAGGATAATGGTGTATTTATAACATCTTTTTTTAATGTGTGTGTTTTGTGAAAAAGATGACAATAAAATAATTGTTGATTGAAACTATTTTTCTGGGTTTTTCTGTTCCATATTTCTTAACCTTTTGCATTTATTTATTTCTATGCTTATCAGTGGTTTCACTAAGGTGGTACACTAATGGAGAAATGCAGCACTGGTTTACTATTGTGGTACCATTGCAAGTACTAAAAGGGTGCAGAGACAAAGTATTATGTATTGTAGAAAAAAAAAAAACATGCGTGCATTAACGTCAATGTGGATTTTTCTCTTTTTCTGCCTGAAAAGTGGCTCTGCGTAAGAAGTCAAATTGAAATGACTCATGACTGTATTCACAGCAGGCTGTGTAGCACTAATGAGAAGATAAATCACTCGCTTTACATTTGAATAGCCTCGTTTTTACTACCAGGCTGAGCAGACCTTGCTAGGGCTGCTGGACAATACTTCTTTTTATTTACCATTCAGTTTTCTGTTGTAGCCTTCACTGATGATGTCTTGGAGGTTCAAATAAATGCTGAATGTTTGAACATTGTTAGCGGCCCCAGTGAGCGCTAGTTATCTCAAATGTATGAGTTTGTTTTCCCCTGGGCATAGTTGAGTTGCAGTGAAGTCCTAGCATCATTACTCCATATAGTTTAATAACTGTATCAGACTCTTGATGTGATGTGATGCTACAGCATTAGAACAGTATTGGGACTTTTGAATGAATCATTTATTTCAACATAAGGTTGAATGTAAACAGCTGGAAACCCTGTATTGTCTATTTCTTTCCTAATACACTTCAGAGAAACGTATTTGGCCTACTTATGAATCACAACAAATTAAATTTTTATGCATCTAGTACTTTAAATTGCCAAATTGCCAAAGCCATTCTGCAGCGTATAGTGCTTTTTCTGCCTCGGTTAATTTTGTCTGCTCTTGGCTGAGCATTTAACTAGACATAGCGTGTGACATAGAGAGACATGTTTTTTTAGCCTCTGCAAACGGATTTGTTTAATCAGCAACGTCATCATTATTAATTTCAGCCTATGCAAGAATAACTCTGATGGCAAAGAACTGTACTCATCATCCGGTTCTCTACTACAAGAAGGAAATCATGAAACAAGGTAAGATGGCAAAAACAGTCGAGTTAAATGTAGTTGTGAATTTTGCTGACTTACATGTTTTGTTTTTTTTTCCTCCTCCAGTTTGGTTTGTCGTCCTCATACTGGCATACATAAACCTTTCCATGAGGGTTGGCACTGCCCCGATCTGTGGCTATGGGCAGGATGGATGCCAGGTCCTTTCCCTGGCAGATATCTTTGACAGGGTCATACAACAGTCCTCAAGAATGCATGGCATCTCCAGTGACCTGCACTCTCAATTTGTGAGTTTTTTCATGCTTGACATTCCTCATCCATCACCATCCATCACCCCTTGTCTGCCATTTATTCACCATCAATCACCCTCGTTGGAGTTGACTTCTTTTTTTTTTTTTTTCCAACCTCTGGCATCACAGTGTGGTTGTATATGTTTTAATCTACACAGGAGCAATATTTCTTTCCTAACAAGAACCTCATAGGAAAACAGAGGTGCCACACATACGGGATACTAACACCAGATGACAAAGAGAATGCACAAAGATTCGGGGTGAGTGTTAATATTACACACACGTGGCGATGCATGCGCAGAAGTGATGTCAAAAAATATAGCAGAACAATTCTTGCACGATGCCTGGGCTGTGGCTTTACCACCAAATTATTTAAGCCCTCCTTTCACGTGCAGAGACAGGAACTGACAGAGGTGATTCTCATGCTGCTTGGGGCCTGGAGTGACCCCCTGTCACAACTCTACTGGAGCATGTCTCAGGATCAGAACCAAGACTTCAACCACTACACCTCTAACAAGGCGCTGGAGATCACCGACATGGTGCAGGAGCTGAGAGATGGAGTGACAAAAATGGCTGAGAAGGTAAAGATCCACTTATGGTTTCTGTGCTTATAGATGTGATTATATAAATTTTTTTTTTTTTTATAGTTTAAGAATAAGAATTCAGAAGGCTTTCTTTGCCTGTAATGGGTCGCACTGCAGTTAGAAATCCCTGCACATCTGATATAGTTTATTTTTAATGTGCTGGGAGGAATTATTCAATAGAAATGGCAAATTGGCACTGTTCGTGAGGTATGTTATGTGTGTTCTCAAAACTCAGCAGAATTTTCATTTTCAGTTACCCACGTAAATTCATCATCTTTGAGCACTCCTTGAAGGAGCTAATGTATTAACTTTGATTCTGTCCACCTCAGATGAAGTTAGAGGGACTGCTTGGGAACACTGTGGGCTACATCTCTCCAGAGAGTTTGGTTCCCTCTTCTGCCTTTTCTTTCTACAAACGGGGAGAGCTGGACTCAGTGGACCATCATGACCTACTCTACTGCTTCCGCAGAGACTCCAACAAAGTCAAAAATTATCTCCGTATCCTGAAATGCACCACCCTTCCGGGGCTGGACTGCTGATACTGAAGTGATAGCAAAGCCGAGTGAGGTATATTCAACATTTGACTCGAAAAAGTCTGTTATCTGCTTTTAACTGTGCTTTATGTTCTTACTGTAGATGCTTAAATTCCTGATGCATTTCACTTGTCCCCTTGCACTATTGTTGGTATAGCTAAATAAGTAATTATGCTTTTGAGCATAGCGCATAAAAAGTTCAAAAATAATAAATAAAAAAATGTTTCCTCATGATCTATTTTGGTCATTTTCTTTTCAATGGGAAGCCATATTTATAGAGATGCTAAATGGTATTATCGTAGAGTGTTCATTAGCATGAAAATTAGAATAAGCAATGTGGAGATCATGATTTATTGAAACGCTTTATTTACAGTTATTATTTTCAATCAAGATCATGAAAAAAAAAATATTTACAAAATATACCCAGTGAAATATGACCTCCAAAAGGATTATAAACAGAGTATTAGTGTAAAGCTCACCAAAACATGAAGTATAAAAAAATAAAAAGCTTGATATGCAAATGGAAGTAAATGAAGTGACTCATTTGGGCCTTTAAGTGATTGCAATTACAATTGAAGAGTGCAGAATTTTTCCTGGAAAGACTTGTCAGTGTAACAACCGTGAAATTGCTCACTGGAGCCTGTGAAATGCAATAAGATAACCACTGACCAAGCAGTTGAGCCTATTTACATTCATGATGTAACAAAACGTGGCATGCATTCAGAGTAAAGTTAATATTATCAGTGTTAGTCTTCACAGATGGTGTATTCCATCCACATACTTCTAACATCTTTCCAGCATTGCAGTCTTTTAGAGGGTTTTGGGGATCTAAGAAAGTCACTTTTACTATCCACTCGTTTTGGCCTCTCATGTGTCCCGGGTACCCTTCTGTGCTGGCGATCGCTCTGTTTTTGTATCAGTGTGATTTTGCGATGGTTCTTCCTCTTCCTGAGCGAGACCTCGGGCCATGAGCTCATCCATTGGGGAGCGATTGTTGTGGACCTCCTTCTCCCTGCAGTTTCTCCACTTCATGCGGCGGTTCTGAAACCAGATCTTTACCTGAAGGAACAGGAGAGTGGAAAAACATTTTAGTTCAGCTTGTTCACTCAGTTTGTTTTAGCTGTGCCAGTCACGTAGCTCTCAGGATAACAATATCGAGCTGTCTGTGCAGTACTTTGACTGACAGACTGAAGTATCTGGAAAATGTAATGTCATGAAGTTTTGTTAAGACAATTATGGCACACCGAGGAAAAATACTCTTGACTTGATGCCTTTATTTTACCTCCAGTTCCTCTCACTTATTCTGTAAAATATGGTGATTTTCTGACTTTTTATTTAGCTCCACCATAATTTTCGCAGTGGCAACAAATTTTCAGATGCTCCTGTATCTGTGTACACCTAATGTAGCTACTGTCACAGCTGTAGGCATATATTCATGAGGAAAATAATATGTAATTCCAATTTTAATTACCTGTGACTCCTTTAGACTGAGATCAGCTGCCAGTTTGTTCCTGTCTGTTTTGCTGATGTACTTCTGTCTCCGAAAGGTTCTCTCCAGCTCCTTCCTCTGTTCTTCAGAGAACACCGCCCTCCTAAGGATTCCTCTTCGTGATTTAGGACTTATGTTAGCAGACCACATTTGAATATTGGCTCCCTCTGAAAAATATATTGCAACAAAAACAATATGCGGATGTGAGTGTGTTGACCAGAGTTTCAGTGTCATCTAAACGTCTTGGATGTTCAGTGGATCATTGGTTAGTGCAGCAATTAAAAATGGTTCCTTTCTGCCACGAGGTCTTACCATCACAACATCAAGTGTAGCTTCATGAAAAAGTGGAGAGGTGGTGTGCAGTGAATGGAAAATAAGCAGCTACATTAATCGTTATTATGTCCGGATTTGTATATTTTTAACTTAAAGACTCAAAATCTGATTCAGTCCCTTGTCAGTGTGTATCTAACAACCGTCCCACATTTCCTACATTTTTAAACCACGATGATGGCTGTTTTGGTCACACTCACTTTATCACTCACTTTTGATTTCTCTCCTTCTGTTTGTCCAATTTAACAAAGTGGGGGTGACTAAAGAGAATAGAAAGCCGCTTCAACTGAGAAAAAAAGGGATTTGGTGACCTGTGAGGACCAATCCCACGCTGCTTCACTCACAGGTGCACGCACAACAAAAGTCAAGTGGAACAATTTATCCAATCTATTCAACGTTGGCTTTTTAATCTGTACGACAAATCTGCACATAGACCACCTCTACAGAGCACAAAACGGGTTTGGACATGCTTCTCACTTCTCTATTGGAGCTCAATAGCGTTCACTTAAATAGCTGATTACCAGGTCATTCCTGGGCAACGTGTGTGTCTCCCCTAGTGGGCCAACTATAGAGCTCTGTGGGACACCAACAATAGAACCGTTCAATGGAAATGCCATTACTCGAAGGCTCCGTGGCCCAACACTAAATCTTTTCTCTTGCAAGTTTGAGGCCAGTTTGTATGTGAAGATGAGCTCGAATAAGTCTATAAAAGTCACTTTCATTGAATGCTTTATGTCCTAGTCAAGAGGTCTCCAATGGGCAGGAATGAGAGTTGAAGGACAGGAGAAAGGAGGGGGGTCGGCGAACCAGGCTCTTTAGCCACACAATGGGCGGGGGATGTTCCTTGTCCAGCCCTCTTCTGCAGAGAAATGGGCGAGTTTTTTTTTGTGCTGAGTGGAGTTCATTGCTGCAGTGAAAAATTGCAGCGAGGTCGCGTGTGGATGGTGGAGTGAAAGTGCCAATTGGTCACGGCTGGAGTTGGCATTGTTTTGTTGCCGGGCACTGTGGGAAAGTGTCAACCTACTAAGAGGACTCCAGGGACTTGTGGGATGAGGGCTTTCTGATTTGTGCTATTTTCCACAACTCTTGACAGGCATCATCGGATGCGGCAACTAATAACTTCCAATTGCTCAGGGACAATGCCCAAATAAGACAAACGCTTGCCTTGATTAATTCTGCTCGACTTTCTACACAAGTCCTAAAGGAGATGCGCTGAAACATTTCAGACGCACATTTACATTTTCCATCTGTGGAGAATGTAAACATTTCAGGTTTACTTATATCTTTCCTGGTTGTTGTCACATTTAATTTAGCTTGAAGATTTAACTTGAAACTGTTGGGATTCGCAACCAGTCTCTTTTTAATGTGCTGAGGCTGTGCAAAGCTTTGAAACTATTTGTCTTACTCAGCAGTAAGAATCCACACTTGGTAATTATTATTTTAATATGACAGAAGACAAGATGTTTATTAGCGCTGCATATTTGCACTAGTAAACGTGTGTATTTGCCAGTACAAAACAGGGGGCCTCTGGGACTCCTAAAAGCCTTGCAACCCACCCCTCTTCCCCGTCCTAAACAGCCGTGAATGGTTATGAATAGAGCTGTGCAGAGTTGAACGGAGAATTAGCTCTTTGGCATTGCATCAGTAATTAGCTGTGGAGAGCATGGGAGACCCTGCTGCTAATGCTTAGAGAGTAGCTGAGGCATTGCTGATGAGGCATAAAACACTCACTGGAGAAGACAGGAGGGGGGCTGGACCCACCGCAGCATGCCAACAGATACTGCGGGCTGCGCAGGAAAACGCTGCTCAGCACACCTGCAAAGATAGAAAGGGACAGTCGGATGTAGAAATGTTACAGCCAGGTGGGAGATGTGTATAAGGACTGTACGTGAATTACTGCCAGTTTCTAACAGCATTTGGAGGTTTTACTTTGTATCATTTTGAGAATTAGATTGAAAGTTTGAGAGTGAAATGCTTACATGATATTTGGGAGGCGATAATGACCAAGTCGTGATTAGAAATCTTGCATATTTGTAAAAAATCTACCGGATTTATAGTTTTAAAAAAAAGTTATATGAACTGAGAAAAAACATTTGCAGCCATTATTTTTTTACACTGAGGCTGAGAATGTTGAAACTGTTTGTGGAATAAATCGATTGCTTGTTTTCTGCCGTATTTAATATTAAATTCTGTTCAAATTCACACCACCCAATTTTATTTGTACTTTAAAGTGAAATTTGGAGGCTGTCCCATCAGACATTTAGACAGTATGTATGGACATTGATTAAAATTTGAAAATGTAGTTGATAGTTGATATCATAAATACGTTTTTCTTTACTTTGAGTTTTCAGTAATATACATTATGAGAGAATATTTCTACATGCATTTCTGTAGAACAAATTTACAAAACTCGCTTTATTAATGGCAGCATGTTGGTGACTCATCCTGCTTCACTGTGACTTCTAAAGATGCATAGAATCTACCTTTAGATACATAGATTCATACAAAATCTATGTACATTTCCAGCCTAGTTTATCAAATTAATCAGTATTTATCCTCTACATTTGCTTAGACAGAAGAGGTAAAAGGAAGAAGAAGAAAAAGCTAAACAAAAAGTGCTGTTTGAGTGTAAAGATGTAGCTGTGCATATTCAAAGCCCTTGACATAATCTGAAGGTATGAGAATGTGTTCAAAAACCCTGCTTGCAATTAAAAACAAATAAAAATCTGTTTACCTGAGTGTGGCAGAAGTGGTCCTCCTAAGTCTTTCACCTGCTGAGGACTTTGGGTCTGGCTTTGAAAGGCTCCATGCTCAGGGCCCCAGGTTCTCCTCGGACGTTCACAAGCCGCTCGTCTCAGGTGTCCACTTGTCGTCCCCTCCGGACGGGCTAAAGGTGTCTGAGACTGCAGCAGATTGTCGATAAGAAAACTCTTTCCTGAGCTCCCAAAGCCTGGTAAAGCGGGAGGAAAGCCTGCCATATTCCTTCTGGTACAGCTCTGAACTGAGACCATCCTGTTCACACAGTGACCCGAACACTTGAGTTCCCTCTTCAGCAGTCACAGCTCAGTGACACTAAATTCTCCTTTAATCCCCTATTGAGTGACCAGGCCAACTTCATTAAACTCTGAAGAAAACAAAAGTTCTCTGCTCTTCCTCTTTTGGGCCTGCACTTTGCTACAGGGCTGCG